AAAATATATTTATTTTCTCTTTCACTTGGAAGGCCTACCTTTGTTCATCTCAAATTTTCTGAATTTTTCATGAAATCCTAAACTGAATCCTTACGATTTCAACAGAAAAAGCACAGCTTGAATTCTTGCTTCCACATCTTCCCAAAGTTATGGAACTGGTCTCAGAACAAGTGACTCCTGTGCAGAAAGCCAGAGGATCACCCCCTGACCACGTGTGCACAGTGTGACCGGCGCTCTGTGCTGGCACTTCTCCACAGCTGTGAAGGGACTGAGGTCACGAGCAGACACCGTCCCCGTGAGCTGGAGAAAGCCCAGGGAACTCATTTCCTTCTCGCGGTCCTCCCACAGCCACGCGCTAGGTCTCAGCATTGCCAGATCTCAGCATTGCCGTTTGGAAGAAGGCACACCACGCGTGGGGCCTGGGGGAGCACATCTGTGCAGCAAGTCCTCACAGTGCCGGCGACTGCCAACTCCACACAAAAACCGAGGCAGGTTCTGTGCGACTGTCCCCTGCTCTGGGCAACAGTGTGAAACTGCTCACAAGGAGGGACACTGTCTTCTGCTGGGAACCAGTGGGATTAAGGTGGAGCGAGAAACACGGTGAAAAACGGAAGCGGAGAGCCTCTGTTCTTCTCAATTTGCCCTTGGTCCTTCCCCAAACCCGCCCTCATCTTTCCGCTTGCTTCAGCTGCTTTTCTCTGTCATAAAAGTGAAAGTTTTCACAGGCTAACCAAACTTCCTGTATTTTCTCCCATAGGTTCAAATCTAAAAGGGCTTTGGAAGGGTTACTTAGTAGACTAAATCCTAAATTCTCCTTCAGGCCACTGTTTTGACACTACAGCGCAAGAGACGGGGGTGGCCCTGGGTCTGGAGGAACCAGAGGGGCTTCTTTCATTTTTATGTTGTCAGGTTTTATTTGGTGTGTCTGTCTGTCATCTTGTTGTCTCGCCACTATTTGCACCTACTGGCTGCACAGGCTCTGGCTGCCTGGAGGGAACTTATCCGTAAATTCACCTTGTACAGCATCCAATAGTGTTTTTTTGTTTTCTCTTTCCAGTTCCAATCATGGAATTGCACAGAACATAAATGTAGAGGTTGGGAATCATCTCTGCCTCCGTTTATTTTGTGGACAGAGAAGGCTGGTGTGCAGTGCCGCAGTCACTTGCTAACAGAAGACAGGCCCCCACCCTGGTTTGGGGCTCTACGGGCCAGAAGGTATCCCCTCAGGGCCCACGCCCTCCCCCAACCTCCTCCCAGGCAGGTGTTCACAGCGGCAGCATGAGAATGCCCTTCCCAGCATTTGCTCCTCTCAGATCCAAAAGACAATTCGTGAAAATTTTTTTCCAAATTGACTGCTTATATACATCCTTTGGGGACTTAGGCTAGTAGAAAATGCAAATCTTCCATAAACTATAAGGAAGAATTTAAATCCTGAGCCTTCTGAGTTCAAGAAAAACAAAGAATTCACCTCCTCTCACTGATTTTCATGTGTGTACTGAGGACGTGGCCGGGAGTTTACTGAGAATTTCTCCAATCCTCAGACATCTGTGGCAGCTCTACACAACTCCACAGGCCGATCTTAGCGGTTTATCTGAATGGCAGACAAAATAATTTTGTCTCATAACATAGCAAGTTGTCACTGAAGGGCAAGAGAAAAAAGGTGCTGCAATGTTTAAATTCTTGGTTCTCAAAGAGAACCCTGTAAAGGTACCTTCTCTTCACTACTCCCCAAATGCCCTCCGCACAGGGAAGAGCAGGTGGCAGGGAGGACAAACACTTTTTGGCTGCTCCGCAAATGGGGTTAACCCTGTGCTACCGGCTGTTCCAAGGGAAGAAAGTTTCTTCCTGTAGTGTCATCAGAGGCAAATAAACCGCAGAATCATAGCAGTTCAGAACTCTGATAAATTAGTTACAATCTAGCCCAATTCCCCCCTTTAACAAACTGAAGCTCTCAAAGCAATTTAAACAAAATTTAGCTAAATAAAAAATTTTTTTATTGCTAAATGAATGTCAAAGTGCTGACAAGGTCCTGTAGAGACCCTCACTTTGGGAAAGGCCCCGGGACAGTACAGGGACTTCCTTTCCGCACAGGCGCGACAGCAGTGCCACCCTGGGGCTGCGCGTGGAGCAGCTGGCGTCTCACAGGGGACATAACACCGGCAGGGGTGTAAAACTGCCTGCGGACAGGCCTTTACAATTCTGGTTTCTCTTATTTTCACAGTAATAAGGCAGCCGGGACCGCGTTAACTCACAGAACTGCCCTTGTGGGCGGTCAGGTGGCAGCGCGCTCGTCGGACCTGCAGGTGGCTGGGTCGGTGCCTTCTGCTCCTCAGCTGTGGGGGCTCAACTCGTAAGCCTCTGCGTCCCAATCTCCTGGGTCCCTTCCGTCCCGCATCTAAGCATCAGCTGGAACTAGCCACATCCAGCTGCCACGTTCACCACGCCCTCCCGGGCAGGACCGGCTTCCCACCCCGCGTTCCGGGCGCACACCTTGGGTCCTGGTCTCCGCGAGCGCGGGCGGTCACGCCGGCCCCTGCAGCCCCTGTCTGGGGGTCTCCGTGGCCTTCTTACAGGTGTACAGCCACTTGATGATGCGCGCGTTCCGCTCGACGACCGAGGTGGTGCTGGGCACCTGCTCCGTCAGCTCCTCTTCCTGCAGCCCGTCTTCGCCGCCGCTGTGCCGGGAGAAGCCGCTGTCGGAGGTGGCCACGCTCACGCTGCGCACCTTCAGGCCCACAAGGTCCGACCCCACGGAGAAGTTCTCCCTCCCAAGAGCCTCCACCACCTCGGGGTCCAGACCGCAGTACCGGAAGAAGGTGTCAGACTCGGCCATGGCCGCGGAGTGGCGGGAGCTGAGGTCCGACTGCGAGCGCCGCAGCCCCCCGCGCCTCGCCGCCCGCAGCTCGGGGCACGGGCGCGCAGCCGGCACCCGGGCGGGCGCTGCGGTCGGCGGAGCGGGGGCCGGGGTCTCGCGAGGCGCGGGG